TGAATTTGTTTTGGCTATTGCAAAGAGGCCCCTATTTGGGAAAGAATCAGTCAGTAACTTTGGAATGGCGTAAAGCGCTGCTATGAGTGACATACTTCCACATTTTTCATTTTATGATTACCTAGGTACTTGAAATTGAATTTATTCGACACACCGGACAGTTAGGGCAGGAGGCGTTATCGTTCGATGCTAGCCATACTCAATACTGCAGCTGAGTATTTTGTGCATCAACAAAATAGTTTTGTGGTAAAAAGCAACGTTCAGAACTTAGAAAAATATGCTGGGTTTCAATTAGTCTTTCTATAGATTTTCTGTGACACTCTGGAGGACATTTTCTCGTTTCTTGTACGAGTTTTGTTTTTGCCGTCATAAGCTCTCTATTACGCACGCAGGCTAAGCGTGCGAGGGCGCGATGATAACCACCATCATCACGTCGTAGAGGCGATGAGCGCATCGTGCGCACATTGTGTGTGGCCGTTTTTCCGACTGTATCTGTTCGACCTGTTTCACATACGGAAAGTATTGTAATGTAGAAAAACGCGTCACACGAATGAAGAGATTCATCTAGGAACGAACGGCATTGCGTGGTGGAGGGATGAAGATGCGACGACGACCGACAATGAATCGACTGCTGGCAACGTGCCTCTTCGCCGCTGCTTCTCTACCACATTCAGTTATGGGTGACACCTGTCTCAGGTAATCAGTTTCGAGTATCAGTTGGAGCGTTCATCAGATTCTTTCACGAGATTCCTTTGTTTTTTGAACTACGATAGTGGTGATTAATGGCTGTTGGTATCTTACGTCAACTCGTAGACGGGACTTCCTCGTGGACAGTCTTTCAAAATATCACGCAAACTCATACACAATAAACACTGCAACATTTCGTTTCGCAAAATATTCAGCAAAAAAGGACTAAGCTGGTCCGGTTTTGGGGAGCAGTAAACGCTAAGCAACCCCATCCGGATGCACTGCTCTGCCAACAAACTTCAGATTTATATGGTGTCAGGGTGGACTTGATCCATACAGTGGTTGCTTGATGTTCATACTGTTTCATTAGCTTGCATCAGATGCACCTTCCCCATCTTAGATATTGAGATCGTACATATTTTTATGGACCGTATTTCTCGTTTACCAAATTCGCAAACCTGCTTTTCAATGTATAATACCTCTACACTACACTTTCTTTTTGGTCACCAATTTACGGACTAACAAGCACCTGAGCAGTTCTTCCCCTAGCAAAAGAAATCGAATGAATGTTGGTCATCGAACCGAATCCCCTTACCGGATGCAGGACAAAGATCTTTTCTTATCCGCACTGATCAGCTTTATTGTTCATGATCGAATCCTGTTAGCGCTGTGATCGATTCATGTAACAAAATGTTGCGAACGGGGGAACAGTGACTCGGAACCTCTAACAACGGGTTGAACTGATCTTTTCGGAAGGCTCTTTCATAAAATCTACTCCTCCTCACTACGTGGTTTGTGTTTTATACTGAACGGCCCCTGTTCAATAGTTGCGCACATTTTCTGAAAAAATCGCTAGAGCGATGTTGAATAACTGAAAGGCTAGGATTGTTGATAATAAACTGCAAGATTTGCGGTAAATCCGGAATTACCCTGATTGGACTCGAACAATACAGTAAATCAGCAACTTTATCCTTACTGACATACGGTACAACTGAGGGCCTACATCTCCAGAAAAAAAGAGGAGCAAGAACAGTAATACAGTATAATACAACAGAATAGGATACACAATCAACAAATGTGACTTCACGTATAGGAGGAGTATTGGTCCTACTTCTAATAATAATGGCGCTGAGACGCGTCAGGTTGCGATTCCCCTCTTTTTCGGGATGAGATAGAGCGCGATTCAAGAGTTCTTCACTCCTAGGGGTGAGTCTGTAACCGTCTCGAGGTGAGAATGAATCATAGGATTAGGGATGTGCCTTCTCGTATGCAGTCCTTCCCGCAAAACGGATATTTCGTGACCCTATGATTTTCTTTACCCCGACTTCGCACCTTCCTTACAGAAATTCATCGAATCTTCTAGGAAAATCCGGAGGTAGTAGAGCTTGATAATGCCTGTACTGACCACCTCATAGGTAGATCACTGGAAACATAGAGCTCGAGGAAAGAGCTTCACAACTCTCAAGATAAGTTTGATCAGGAAACTCGAAAACTTTCAGATGGAGCAAGATCTGGCGCTGCGCTTACCAAATCTCAGTTCGTGGATAGACTAACATGCAAAACAATTGAGCTTACCAGCCCTCCGAAGCAAATACAGTACCCTACGATTGTGTGGTGGAAGAAAATATATGGAAGAGCAGAAGGAGGGCTCGGCGTGAGCTGTTCGAAGTGCCTGTGACCAGGACACGGATGCAATCAGTGTCAAGTGAAGGGTGGCACTCTGTGTTCACAATATGCTCGGTGGTAGAAATAGGGAGCGGAATGGGGCGAAGATTCAACCGAATGACTTGTCATCCAATATTGTCACCTCTAGGGCTCCGAAGTTGAAAAGCAAACAGGATACAAAAGTAAGGGCATAAACTGAACCAACTAGCGGATCGATACAACTCTTGATATCCCATTATGAAGTGGACATCGAGAAAAATTTCCTTTCCTTCGCGACGCTTTGGAATGAATTTGTCCGCTCAAACAAGGAGTTCGGAACCAACTTATTTCCCTTCAACCTCCTTCCCCATACAAAAAGGGTGAGACGAAATCATGGAACGAATGCTCGGGCACATTTCTCCGACTACTATGAAGTTTTTCGTTCCTGGACTTTCCTAATTTTTGTTTTATCTGATTGATTACAAACCAGTCCTTCAGCTACCACGAAAACTCTGCTTTCTTCGTGAACGTTAAGCTGTCGTTCCGTCATATCATCCGTCATAACTCTATCGTCGATTAGCGCCGTCAAAGATTCCGAGCAATCAACATCTCTCCTTCGAATAAGTCAAAAAAAAAAGCTTCAAGTTTACAGCAAGATTTACGGAGCTGACACAAGCTTCGTGAGAGTGCGAATATTATTCTTGAAATTTTTGGGCCCTTTTTTTTAAAAGTGTGGACAGTGAATTACTCTTCAACCGGCACTGTTACTGCAGAAAACTGCAGAGGTAGCGTCGATTTCTGCGAGATCTGTGGATGAGACTGTGTGAGAATCACTCGATTAGAAAGGCATAGAAACGAGAAGAAAATTCCGAGAAATAAACTCTTTTAGACTTGATGTAAACAGAGTTTCCAGACCCACACTTGCCTTCGGCGGCGGCTTTCAGCTCGACGAACTTTATGACGATTAATTCCCCTATTCAGTGTATCCACAAGTCCAAGGCATGTGGCAAGCTTCACAGCATTCTGATTACTTGAAGGTTGCCCTGCAAGGACCGCGAAAAACGTTTGAAGCCAACTACCCACTCGTCACTGTCACATCGTTTCTCAACAGTCCTTGAGCCTTTCTTGAACTGGAAGGTATTCGTTCCGAGGCAGGGTGGTAGCACTTACTCATGTTATTTTTTCTGGAGAGTTGAACAATAATAACTGTCTTCTGCTCCGAGCTCGAACCGAGCTTCTTCGCTACATCTTTCTTTCCAGAATTTGCCTTGCTCACCCTGCGTCTAATGGCATTTGCAACAGCTAGCGAAGACAGATCTGGAAAACTTCAAAGAGAATATTTTTTGTTGTCTTTGCACCATTTCGTGAATTCGGGCATTTTACCTGAACGCATAGTTCGCGATCGGTTTCTGAGATTTCTTTATAGGGTGAAAATGTAAACCCCAAGGATATCGCAAAGGATGCTAGCGGATGGCATAGCACGTAACAAGGGCTCCTGAACCGGCTCAGGAGACGTACACAACGAGGGACGAGTTATCGCGGCTTTGTAGAGGTTGTGCAACTTGCGCCATTCGCAGTAGGATCCGCACTTTGCACGCAGGCAGCTCATGCAGCCAGCTGTAAACAATGGCCTACGCATCCAAAGACCCTTTCGAACAACTCTTCCATGCAGCTTTTTTCGTTACATTCTCGTCGAACCCATAATTTTACTATGTTTTCGAAAGTCGAAGCCTTATATTGTTCTGAATGCGCCGATTTTCGCAGTTCCTTCGCCACTTCTGCACTATTTTAAAATGTATATTTGATTATTCGTCTGGGACAAGCTCTAAAATGCTTGTGAATCGTGCCTTTAAAGGCACAATTCACGGTAATTTTGTTTAATCCAGACTATGACGAAAAATGGAAGATAAGGTGGAAAATAGTGCGATGAAGGCGTAGAAAGCACGCGAATCGGTTATTTAAAGTGAGAAAAGGCTTCGAAAAAATCGTTAAATAGGGGCTGACGAGAAGGAAACCAAAAAAAAAAAGAAGCACAAGGGGCGTTCGGACGAGCTATACATTGTGTGTCATTACGTACGTGTGGGTCCTGGTGCGATTAGGTAACTACAGTAAGCAAAAATTCATTCACTTATAAGCATACGTTAACAAAAAACCCTAGTAACAGCAAAAGTAGCTCACCTTTTTCAGCCTCTAGGAGTAGGGAATTAAGCAAGGGATCGCGGCAGCAAAAGAATAGCAGAGTATAATAGAAAATGAGAAAAACGTCGCCTCACTACTCGGCTATCGGCTGATTGCGTGCTGAACGTGTGGGTCCTGGCGCGATATTGCAACCTGTTTCACCTCGACACTCGTCTTACACATCAGCGAGGGGGCCGGAAATCCGGACGATCCGGTGAAACTATGCCCTAGCTGTTGACTTTTTGAGTTCGACAGCGCCCTTCTTGTTATCCATGGGGACCACTAGGTATTCCTATGAGGAGGACTCGGAAGTCTTTCTTGTAGTGATTTGTGCCTTTGAGGAGATCATTTCGAACGACTCGGGTATCAAATGGATGAACCCTTAAAGCGTTACTGATGGGAAGAATAATTTTGTGTTGTTGAAACTTTTTTTTATTATTGTGAGCGGCAGAATTAATCCATTTTAAAGGACTTTGAACGGATCAGCTGATTGCATTTTTAATAAATTTGTTCCAATGTAAAGGATGCACTAGGTAATGCAGCTGCTGTAATACAGTTAAGCACATCTATTTCTGGATTTGGCCACCGGTGATACTAGTTTTTGGAGCACTTGGTGACTTTGTCTAGACGGTTTTTGACCGACGCCACCAGTGGCGTCCTAACAGAACAGCTTTGTCTGCAGGAAATCTCGGAAATCCTTTGTAGCACAAACCATACTTTTGAGGATACTCGAATAACATCAAGTCAGAAACAATATGGTCATAGGCGTCCCAAAAACCCAAGATGAAAGTAGGAAATGAAACGCAACACTCAAAACTTGGAAATTGTGAAAACGGTTGATCCTGAACGTTTTCAAAAATCTTCTGAGATATTCGACTGATTGATTTAGGCCGCCGGTCGAATGGAAATCTGTTCCATATGCTACTAATGTCACTTTTTTTCAACGAAAAACTAAAACTGCATATAAATTTATTTCAGCCAACCTCAACTTGCCGGAGTTATATTCGGATCTGTCGGAGCAACACTTGCCATATGTGTAACTATAGCCACTATATTTTGGATGTGGATGCGACGAAGTGGTAGGTTACAACTTCTTTCCTCATTCTCTGCAGACATTTTTTGCTATCATATTAAACTGTACGCATTCAACAATGATGGCATTGCTTACTTCTTGCCAGTGTCATGAG